AGAAAAAATTGTGACTGACTTGGGCTTGGTGATACTTGCATGTAATCCAGCACTCTGAAGGCAGAGGTGGGAGGATCATCAGTTCAAGGCCAGCCTGGGCTACATATTAAGACCCTGTCTCAAAAAGCCAAAAACTGGAGATACAGCTCAGTAGTAGCTTGCTTATGTGCAAGGGCCTGGGTTCAATCCCTAGCACTAGGAAAAAAAAAAAAAAGACCAAACATTAGGAATTCATGTTTTCAAACTAAGTATTAAATTGAAATCTCACTGCAACAGGACTTCGTGTAGATCAGTGAGGCACCATTAAAACAGAGCAGTCCCATCTGGTAGTAAATACGGGCTAGGTGTTCTGCTTTCTACAGAAACATTCTGTTTGAAGCATTTTGTCCTCTGAAGGCTACATCTACATGGTGCCCAGGCTGCCTCGAATGGCTCAGGGGATAAAGACCTGTTATTAAACTGAAGACTCAGTACATCTTAGTGACCCTTCCTTCAAAGCATCCATCACTTCAAAATCTTTCCTGCAGGAAATTACACAGAAGAGCAAACAAGACAGTTCCCATGTCCCCACACTGGTGTGAACGTTGGTTTGATAAGACTCTCAAACATCTCCTATTTCAGAGAGTTTTCAGTGTAGAATGGAATTAATTTGAATATTTTAGTTCAGAAACAGGTCCTATTAATGAGCATCCATGAGACCACTCCAAAGGTGTGGTTTTGAAAAGAGCCCTTTTAGACTTACTTGACAACTACTGGCAAACTTAAACAAGAAAAACAAGAATTCTGCATTCAACATACTTCAACTTAGAAGGTAACTTCTAATAAAACTCAGAAGCCCTGACTAATAAACTTTTTCTTCCTCATAAGGCTTCATAAAAAGTAAAAAAATCTTCCAATAGCAGCGCCCTCCCACCCCTTTTGTTGGAGACAGGGTTTTGCTATGTAGCCCAGGATGGCCTGGAACTTGCTATGTACCCTAGGCTGCTCTCAAACTCATAATCCTCCTGCCTAGTCTCTCCAGTGCTGGGATTACAAATGTGCAACATGTGCTCAGCATAGGACTCCACTTTTTAAAAATAACTTTTACAATAATACTTTTTATACTATTCAAGTATTTTATTACCACTGCAAAAATTCTAGAAAATACATTAAAATTGGAAAGGAATATAAAAATGTTGCCGTCTACAAATAATCCTTTTAGTATCCTGGTTTATTATTTTTCAGTTTTATTTTCCTGGCTGCTTTTATGTATGTGTATGTATAGGGTGTTTGTAACTCAATTTTCACTCAATGCATCACATTCTAGTCAGTGCTTAGATCTTCATTTATTTCACAACAAAGCTGTTCGATGGTTAAGTTGGAAAACTAACATAACTTTTGACCATATTATACTTGAATATGTCATGTCACTTAGGATCTTTGTGAAACTGGCTAAGGGGCAATGTAAGTTACAGAAAAAGAAAAGACTATGAAAAATATTTTAACAGCATTTACTTTTAGATAGTAGAACTTATCTGCATGTTCTGTAATGAACAGATACAACATGGTAATTCACTAAAATGAAGATTAACATTTATATAAATAAAACCTTAAAATTCAGTAATTTGGGGATAAGTTGTGTTTTTTTTTGGTGTGGTGGTAATTTTTTTTTTTTTTTCCTGAGACAGGGTCTGGCTATTATAGGCCAGGTTGGTCTTCAACTTGCAATCTTCCTGCCTTAGCCTCCCAAGTGCTGGGATTACAGGCCTGTGACACTACACCTGAAGGGAAGTGTACATTAAGTGAAAATTAAAAGTAAGATTTAACACTGTTGATATGTTCTTTGTGGTACTGGGTTTGAACTCAGGATCTTGAGCTTGCTAGGCAAGCACTCTTTGCCTGGGGCTGGCCTCAGCCCACTACTCTCATACTTATACGTCCTATAGATCTGGGATTATAGGCATCCACTACTATGCCTGGCTTATTTGTTGAGATCTGGTCTCAATAACTTTTCCCCCTGAACTGGCCTCCACCTTCCTTTGTAGCTCGGATTTCAAGCATGAGCCGCAGTGTCCTGTTTCAACATGTTCGTAAAAATAGTAAAGACTAGAGAACAAAATGTTTAGCACCAGGAGGTGCTGGTTAGTCAAACCGTGGTATAACAGATCATCATAGAGCTAGCTGAGAGCACGAGGCAGAGCTCTATATGAGACTTTGCAAAGATTGCCAAGTCAAGCCACCAAACAAGACAAAGCGTGTAACAGTAATATCATAGGTGTCCAATGGTTACAAAAAGAATCAGAACCAGTGAAGAGGTTCTTTTCTAGGCATAAAACACAGATGACAGGCTCCACAAGAAACTTTCTATAGTGGTTAGTTATCTTTGGAGTGGGGCTAAGGAGTTGAGTATCCAATATGATCACGACCACAGGGAAACATGAACCAAGGTGTAATACATAAAAAGGAAGTACACTGCTTAAAGTAATTTTTGGATCCATTTCAAAGCTGTCCTCTGAAGGTTTTTTTTTTTTTTTTTTAAAGCAGAAACTGACAATGAGTATCAAAAAGATGATGGAAAAAATGGAACATTTATTCTACCAATTATGGGAACTCATGAGATATCAGTAATATGATAGCAGTGGATCTAAAGTATCTCTAAAGTAAATGGTATTATAAAATCCAGTCACAAGTTTTTGTTACTAACAAACGGAAGTGGTTATCAAAAAAATTCTAAAGAAGTCTGTCTAGAACTCATTGAATATTGGTGTTTTATCCCAAGATTCTCCTGCTACACTTATTTCAGTTTACAAATTCAATAATCCAGCAGTGGAATACACTGCTGCACATCTAGGCAATAATAAATGAAAGGAGCCATTTTTACAGGTTAAGATTTAACATAATATTTTCCCTTCAAAACAAAGATAAGGAAATCAATCACAGAATTAGAGTGGGCTAGGAATGTAGCTCAATGGTAGAGTGCTTGCCAAGCATGCACAAGGCCCTGGGTTCGATCCCCAAGACCACAAGAAGAGGGGGAGGGTGGAGCTCTAAGACCACAAAAAAGGGGAGGGCTGAGGACAGAGCAGTTTAAGAACTCAGAAACATTCTCTTAAAATAGATGATCCATAAACCTGCCTTTAATAAAACACTAGGAATTATTCCATCTTTTTCTTTTGGGACAAAGTTTCACCATGTAGCCCAGGCTGGCTTCAAACTCACAATCCTCTTATCTCAGTTCCCCCTACCCCAGGGCTAGGATTACAGGTTGGCTTTCTCCCTAATGTTTCTGAAATCAGATCTGTAGATAAACAACACACCTGCACTACTGAGTATCTGTGAACACCAATTTACTTAGATGTAGCTATATAAAGAAAACACGTTAACTTGTCTTATGTTGGAGTGAAATCATTAGCAGAAGTCACTGAATTGGAGCCCTCTTGATGTGTATGGCTGTTTTTCAGATACTCAAGACTTTTTTCTACTCATTAACATTAATGTGTTTTACTGACTTTCCCTGAGTGTATATATTATAAAAATATCACAAATTCCCAAGGATTCATGGCCACAATCAGTCACTTTGAGAACTGGCTGGTAACTGGATAGTATGTCCAGAGGAGACAACTCAAAATCAGACCACAGAGTAGAGAGAGCATCACTGCCACTAATTCTCACTTCACATCTGGGTCCTGACAGTTGTCTTTCCATTTTCCCTATCAACATAGCTCCTGAGGGTTTGGTTAGCTGAAGGGAATAGGGAAGTAATATGATTTATTTATAGACTCCTTTTTCTTTGTGGAAAAAAACCGTAATTCCTACCAAGAGTGTGGATTCAAAAGGCATTTTTGCTGGAATGAACGATCAGAAAGGTGATGTATCATGGCCCCATCACTCAGATACTTGGGTAAATTAGGAATGTTATCACACATACACATACATGTTGGTGGTACTGGTGTTTGAACTCAGGGCCTCACACTTGTTAGACAGGCGCTCTACCACTTAAGCCACTCCACCAGTCCAAGGATGATATTTCACCTAAAACATAGGACCTCCAGCAGAAAATGATGGTGGCACCAGGACACGTACCCTCTTGGTGGAGATGCTCTTGCTTGCAAGAAGCTAAGATCTAGTGACACTCTACTTTGTTCCTAAATGACGGAGCAGACCGGGACTGCTCTATTCGTCGTGTTAGCACTCATACAGGTGTCATCGCACACAGCCATCACGCTACTACGAAAATCTCTGGGTTCTTGGTTCCACCAGGGAAGGACAGCGTAGCTTTACAACCCAGGTGCTCGTGGGCAGGTGCCTGCGGTTGCTTTCCTCCACTTAGGCAAGTTATTTCGCAAACATCCCTCTCCAGTAACCTTCCCCGCTGTGGATCTCCACCTTAGTCTCCACCACACCCTCGGCAGTCTCCGGAAGGACAAGGACACCAGCTCCCCCTCCAGAAAAGGTGCAAAGGACGGCGGGGGGTGGGGCTGGGGGTGGGGGTGAGAGAGAGTTGCTGTCAGGGTCGCGAGACAAAAATCAAGTACAGTGAAGTCGGTCAAATCCAGATGGAGGCCACGGATTGCCCTCCCTGTCCAGTCGGCCTTTGCAGACGTCCAGCCTGCGCGGAGGAGGGGCGACACCTGGCGTCGTATCCCCGCCGAGACCGAGGTGCTCAGAACACTCTGGGCAACCCCAGAAGCTGCTCCACCACGCCTTTTGCAGACATTGCTCAAGCCCTTCGGAACTCTGAAGGCTAAGGCTGAGGGAGGCGAGGAGGCCGTGCCCGAAAGACAGGAGCCACAGCGGCCCCCTCCCAGGACTGCCTGGCCGCGCGCGGCCCGTCCTCCCCGGCGCGGCCCGGGCTTGGGGCGCTGCGGGACGAGAGCGGTCCCCCACCCCAGCCTTGCAAAGGAAGCGCCCGCTGGTGCCGCGCCGCAGCAGGATCCGGCCGGCTGCCCCGGGAGGGGCCACTGGGGCCTCCCCCGCCGGACCCCGCCTCCACACACTCGCTGCTCCGTCGCAGCCCTTACCCGCAGAACGTGGTAGCCTTCCGTGCCGCCGCCCGGGATCTCGACGCTCTGCGAGGAGCCCATGGCGGCGGGCGATCAGTGTGGCCAAGCCGGGCTCTGCGCTGCTCCCCTCCCCGCGCACCGTCCACTCAGCTCTTCGGCGTAGCACTTAGGACGTGGCACTCGCTGCCGCCCGAGAGCCGGGCCGCACAGCCCGCCGGGAGATCGTCGCCGAGGCAGCCCGGGCCGCAGCGACGCCGCAGACAGCGCTACCTGTCGGAAGCCACTGGGAAGACCCCCAGCGCGCGAGAGCAGGGCGGGGCCTAGTCGCCTCGCGAGAAAGCAGAAGTGCGCGAGGCCCCCTGGACGCCTTGCTACGGAGCTCTCGGATGGACAAAATTCATTTAGACGCGTTCTCATGCTCCGAAAGAAAGGTTGCTTGCTTGTAGCGCTCCCTGGTGGCCAGATCCAGAGCAAGGACTGCTGCTGAAAGAAAGGATTCGCTAGGTTTACAGATCTTGTCCCACATTGCACAGCTGAGGGTAATCCGTAGTGTCTCTATGCAAGCTGAATACCACCTCTGCTCAGCTCACTTTGGTAAACGAAACGTTCTCTGCAGAAATCAGCTGTCCCAAAGAGTCATGAAGCCCACACCGCGTTTTGTTTTGTTTTTTTTGCTTTTGTTTTTCTGTCCTCTAATTGTGAGAACAAAATCAGAGAGTCAGTCATAGTCCGAGTGGGAAGCACGATTGAATTTCCTTGGGGTTATACCGCCAGTCCTACTCCCTGCTACGTCAGCGCCTTCTACTTGCTCGCTCTAAAATCCCCAGTCGTTGTCATTGTCCAGTGGCCAATTTGATCTTGTCTGCTGATGCTTTACAACGTAATCTACGTGTTACTATCCACGAAGTATCCTAGCTCCAAATATTTTACTTACCTCTATCATATCTTCAGCTAAATCCTCTAATTTAGGTAGAGGAATTAGTAGATGACATCCGAAGGGACCAGGTCGGTTTTTTTCTTGAGAACAGCTGGACAGTTCTCAAGTCAGAACCATGTGAAAGGGAGCCTGCTGGATTAACATCAATACTATGGACATAACCAGGAAACGCAATGAAAGCCTTGAGTTGGGGGCTTGCTATGGTTAGGATCTTATATGTCCCCCAAAGCTCGTGTGCTAAAGGCTTGGTCACTAGCCTGTGGACTATTGGGAAGATGGTGGAACCTTAAGAGGTGGGGCCTTGTTGGGTCATCGTGGCATGCCAGTGAAGTGGATATCGGGACCCCACACCTTTTCTCTCTTGGTTTCCTAGCTGCCATGAGGTGATTTCATAAACTATTGCTGCTAAGTAGTCAAAATTTTGGGACCAGTTTTTTTCCAGATGTGTAATACTAGATATGAGCAAGTCCAACCTGTTCTGTGAGATGTGCTGTGTGTTTCAGCTGCATGAGTGACTACTTTTGTTTACTTTCTTATCTTCTTGAGTTTCTTCATGTCTTGATGCCCTTTTCTATATTTTCTGCTTAGAAAAATCCTAACTGTCTCTTACGGCCCATCTCAAATGCTACTTATCTATTCCTAAATTCAGAAGGACTTTTCATTCTAAGTTCCTGGAATAGTTAGGTCCTTCATTTCTGGTGACATCATCACCATCATCATCACCACAGGCCTGTCTTTCATCATTCACAGGCCATTAATTCAGGGTAAGAATCTTGTCCTTTGGGGGCTAGGGGTGTAGCTCAAGGGTAGAGCACATGCCTACCATGCATGAAGCCCTAAATTCAATCCTCAGCACTGAAAAAACAAAACAAAACAAAACATGCATATTCCTCTAAATCCCCACTTTGTGTTGGGAACATGGTAGTAGTATTTGTCAATTTTGGGGGCTGGGATGTGGCTCAGTGATAGAGTACCTGCCTAGCATAGCTAGTTCAATCTCTAGTACTACAAAAAAATTGTTGAGTTGAACTGAAAGTATGTAGTGAGTGGCTTCACAGCTTTTTCTTGTTCAAACTCAGTAAGTTACCTGTGTGGCTACTCTTTGTGCCGCATCAAAGTGCGTATCATTTTTTTACCGGCAGTTGGTAGAGGGTGAGGTTCAGGGGCCACCTGATTTAGGAATGAAAAGATATGAAAACCCTCACTCCAGTTCCTGGTGCCAGCTGTCTTCCTCTTTTGTTAGGGAATATGCTCAAACAGAGGGCAAGGAAGAAAATCTCAAGGACGCTGCCAAAGCTAATATAAATAAATACACCATGATGGAGGGGAATGCACTGGAGATTATTGCCCATGTCTGTCTCAATTGGAGTAGGAATCGCTGCAGGCAAGTTGGCATTTTGAAGCATCGTGGGCAGCAGAAAAGCAAAGTCCAGTAAAAGCAAATGTCTACAGGCTAAAAAAATCAAACTAGGAGCAATTTATTTTTCTGGAACAAGTGTTTGTGCATCTCTTCTGGGTTTCATTAATTCTGAGTTCTCATGAATAAGTAGTTTATGATAGAAGGGTCATTTTGTCATATTGGCTAGGGCAGCTTTTGCTGCCTCTAGTCTAACCTGAGAAAGATTGGCTCCTGCTGTGTTTGGATGGCAACCACACTGGATAGGTCAGACAAAAGGGGCTCTCATATCACAACCCCTTCCTAATCTTTGTGCTCATCAGAAAAAACAGTCATGTTAGGGGTCATGGAACCTCAGCCACAAATGTGTGGACTGGAGGGGACCTATGATCATAGGCAACCAACACCCATCATGAAGTGGCCTCTTGGGAAAAGTTCTGCCCCCAAAGCACATGGTAGTGATAGCTAGATAAGCAGATTTTCTCTTTGCGAACTTGGAACTGGGAAAAACCAGGAGAAACTCAGTCAAGTGTATGTTTATTTGCATATGAGAATGTAACAATGAGGGATGGTCTTTGCTGTGTATTCACTACTGAATACTTTAGACAAAGGGCTGACAGACATAATTGCTCAGTAAGTGGTTGAAGGAGTACATGGCCATGTGAGTAGTCCTGTTAATAAAATGCACTAGTGCAGTGGTTCTCTAGCTTGGGTAGAATCAGAATTGCCAATGAACTTCATAAAAATTCAGATGTCCAAATACTAGCCTATTTCATGAACCTAGGTCCCAGTGGACTTCATTAATTTCCAGGTGATTCTGATACACACACAGTTTGAGAACTTACACACTAGACCAATGCCTAATAAAGCTTGCTGTTTCGTGTGCATTCAGATAATCAAGGATTCTCTTAGGCTAGGAGGAGTCTTCTCAGAAATCAGACAGTCACAAGGCCCAAATCCTGCTGATGTTCTTGTGTTTCTTTTTTTTTCTTGTGTTTCTTTGATGTTCCTATTATGTCTGTTGTCAAGTGTTTCTATTTATTTATTTATTTAGACAGTCTTGCTATGTAGCACAGGCTGGCCTCAAAATCACAATCTTCCTGCCTCCTGCTAGTATTATAAGTGTGCCCTATGGCACCTGGCTTATGCATTTACTTTCAGATTTGTCTTTTTATTTATTTTTTTTGATGGTACTGGAGTTTGAACTCAGGGCCTTGTGCTTGCTAGGCAGGTACTGTACCACTTGAACTATGCCTCCAGCCCTTACTCACTTATTTTTTAAACAGACCATTTATCTTGGGACAATTCTAGATTTACAGAAAAGTTGCAGATAGTGCAAAGTTCCCATATGTTCTTCACCCACTTTCTTCTATTGTTAACGCCTATTTGTCAAAACCAGAAACCAATGTCATTAACTAAACTCTATACTTATTAAAATTTCACAAGTATTTCCACTGATGTTCCTTTTCTGTTCCAGGATTCTACACAGGGTCACTGTCACAGCTACTTGCCATGTCTTCTCTGGTTTGTAATTGTGTTTTGACCTTTCTTGTTTTTCATGACCTTGACAGTTCCAAAGAACATTGCTCAGGGATTTTAAAGAATATACTTCTATTTGGTTTGCCTACTATTTTTCTCATGATTAGACTGGGTTTATTGGTTTGGGGAAAAGGGGGAGGAGGTACCATTCTCACCATATCATATCAGGATTATGTGTTACTAACATGGCTTCTACTTGTAATTTAACCTTGATCACTTACGATTTTGTCTGCCTTAATAGTAAAGTTATTTCCCCTTTCCCTGTGGAAGCAAGTCACTATGTCTAGCCATTCTTAAGGGCTGGGAAGTTTGTGTGTTGAGGGAAGGAAATTTAGTTTCACCTCCTGGAGGGGAATTATCTGAGTAAATAATTTAAAATTCTTCTATAAGAAATTTGTTCCTTCTTTCCCATTTATTTATTTATCAAATCACTTATTTATATAACTATGGGCTTGTGTATATTTATTTTATACTTGGTTAATACTGTTATTTATTGCTGGTAGAAATGCAAAATAGTATGTTTTGTTGCTTGAGTTGTACCTGTGTCCCTGAAAAATTACTCCTTTTAACTCTGGCAACCACTAATCTTTCTTCCAGCCTTACAGTTTTGTCTTTTCCAGAATGCCATATGAATAGAAGCACACAATATATAGCCTTTAGGTCTGACCTCTTTCACTTAGGAAATGGTAGAGTTCAAACCCTAGTACTGTCTGCTCCTCCCTCTCCCCCCAAAAAGATTCATGTGTGTTGTGTGACTGACTATAGCATTTCATTACTGAACAGTATCACACTGTATGGATATGTTCATTTGACATAATGATTTTCAGTTTTTGGCAATTGTCAGTAAAGCTACTATTGACAGTCAGGTTTTGGTGTGGACATAAATTTTCAACGCACCTGAGTAAAAACCTAGGGTAGTTTTGCTGGGTTGTACAGTTATGCTGCCAATGTGTGTTCCAAGGTAGCTGTCCTGTTTTGCATTCCCACCAGCAATATATGAGCATTCCTATTCTCTGCATCCTTGGTAGCATTTGGTATTTTCAGGTGTTTTGGTTGATTGATTGATTTTGTGTGTGTGTGTGTGTGTGTGTGTGTGTGTGTGTGGTGTTGGGGATTCAACCCAAGACCTTGTGCATGCTGGGCAAGAACTCTACAACTGATCTACATCCTTAGTCAGTTTTTTAAAATTTTTAATTATTTTGTTATCTATGCAGTAGTTTCTTATTGTGGTTTACATTTCCATATCCTTAATTGACAAATGCTATCATATTTTCATATGTTTACATGTCATCTATATATCTTCCTTGCTGAAGTGTCTGTTCATATTTTTTTGCCCATTTTAAATTGGGTTGTTTAGTTTTGTATTGTTAAGTGTTAAGGGTCTTTTATGTTTTGGATATGCATTCTTACCAGATATATGACTTATAAATACTTTTTCCTACTTTTA